GACAGACACCTGCAACTTGGCAGATTTCAGCTTTCCGTGGCCTGTCGTTTCCTGACCTGTGGACCAGATGGAGGGGCCTACTGGGGCTGCACGTGAAGGAGCCCCATGGCCGTCTCTCAGGGATCCCGTTGTCATGACAACAAGTGGATGCAGTGCATCTCACAGACCAGCGTGGCTGGGAGACAGGCACTAGCTTGCCAACTGTGGCTTGCCATGCAAGGGCACCGACTACAAAAACCCTGCCAACTGATAGAATCATCATTTAATGGGGAAAACGTGGACAGGCAGAGCCTCCACAGAAACATCTTTCTGGGGAGGTTGCCGTGGCACAAGGAGTTCAGCTGCCATGTTCGGGATGCCCACGTCACGTGACAGAGCCTGGGCTCGAGTGCTGCGTTTTCCACACTTGCTCCATCTTCCCACAAGGGCATCCTGGGGGTCAGCCGGTGGCAGTCCAAGCACTTGGATTCCAGCCACCCACATGAGAAAACCGGAAGGAGTTCTTGGATCCTGGTTTTGGTCTGGCTGGCTGCAAGCACTTGGGAAATGAACCTAGGGGACAGAAGGCTCGTCCATCTCCCCCAAATCTGCCTTTCAAATAAGTGAATAAATCCCTTAAGAAACAGTCCACTTTCTTGCATTAGATACTTTCGCCTCACTTATCCTGCATTCCTTATTTCCCTGCTGTTAGCTCCCTGAACAACGTGCTAGGGACCAATGTGGGACATACATGTATTACAGGGAACCGGATTCCTGTCTTCTAAGAAATGTCTGCTTCCCTAGAATTTCCCAAATAAGCAAGATGTCAACTGCAGGCTTCACAAAAAGCGGTCGGGTGTAAAACAAGTACTCTACCCGTATCACTGCAAAAGAGCGGAAACAAAGAAATCCTCCCACCCTCCACAGACCCACTGCCATTCCCACGTAAGAAAGCAAATGACTCCTACCAGTCTGAACAGCTCAAGGCAGACACCAGACCTCAACTGAACTTTCCACTCTGAGAACAGAAATCGCCATCAACATTTCCTAGTTGGGCATATTCTCACAAACCCCTCTCTGGATTCTTGCAAGCTTTGTCAGTTCTTCCTTCCAGAGAAAAAAAGTAAACCAATGTTTGCTGCGCATAATGGCGAATAAGCAGCTTGCTGAGAGAAGGGGGGGACCAGGGCTAGCTAACCTGTCGAGGGCATAGGCCCCTGGCTATGCAGCCGTGGGACTCATCCACTTGTAAAGAGAAAAAGAAAAAAAAAGAGAGAGAGAGGTGGGGCAGGCAGCATGAAAACAAGGCCCCATGAAACCGCTCCTTGGAGGTCTAGTGGCTAGATGTTCAAGGGATCCAAAGTCAGTGGCTTTTCTTTTTTTAAAGATTTATTTTTATTATTTTTGTATTGGAAAGGTGGATATACAGAGAGGAGAGACAGAGAGGAAGATCTTCCGTCCCATGATTCACTCCCCAAGTGAGCGCAACGGCCGATGCTATGCCGATCCGAAGCCAGGAGCCTCTTCCGGGTCTCCCACGCGGGTACAGGGTCCCAAAGCTTTGGGCTGTCCTCGACTGCTTTCCCGGGCCGTCAGTGGCCTTTCTAAGTGCTCTGCCTGGTCCACTGATGCTCAGCCTGCTAGAAGAGACGGCAAGTACCATCCCGGGAATGCCCATCAGGGGCGCCCTTTGCCGAGCCCCGAGACTCAGATGCCAGAATCCAATTTCCTTTCTGCCTGGACTTTGTCTCGTTCTACATGCAAACAGCAGCCTCCTCACTCCCCACCCGCAGGCCTCAATTCTCAGGATTTTTTTTTCTTTTTGTCTATGTTAAGCAATGAAGGAATGCCTAGCACAGAACAGGTGCCCCATGCCTGGATAATTTCTTGCACGACTACATCCTGCCTGGGCGTGAGTCCGCCTAAGGCAATTGTTTCATGAGACACCTCACGGTGACACCAAAATAACTCCTAGAAAGAATTAAAAAAAAAAAAAAAGTTTGTGTTGCCATTCTGTAGCTGCAAGGTGAAGTGTATAGACGCCTGAGGACACAGGTGCCCCGTCAGGGGGACAGAGACTCTAAGGGACCGCTGGGAACCCTCCCATATTTATTTCTGCTCACTTGCTATGCCTTCTGCCTTGTCAGCCTGGTACAACATGTTTATTTAAGAGAGAATGTTGCTGTGGAGGAGGGCACAAGGCAATAAACAGCTTTTGCAGGCAATTAAATGCAGCAGCGAGAATGAGCTGCTGGTCAGTGGAACCAGCCATTCATCGTGACTTTGGTCCTGCGTCACAAACGTTATTCCTGTTTCACAACAGGACAGGAATCTGTGATTGGGCCACAAATCTCTCCACGGGCTGCAGACAGACCAGGGGCGATTAAAGCAGCTCTCAGCGCGCAGGGCGTTCAGTGGAACAGTCTGGAGATTTCTGGAACGCTGGCACAGGAGACAGTTCAATCCTGTCAAAGGCATGCTTACAGGAAGAGAGAGGCAGAGAGACGGACACACAGAGAGATCTTCTTCCCTCTCACGGGTCACTCCCCAAATGCAAACGACAGCTGGGGTTAGGCCAGGCCCAAAGCCAGGGGTTCTCCCTGGGTCTCCCAAGTAGGCAGTAGGGAGCCAGGTGTACAGGCCATCCGCTGCTGCGTTAATCGGGAGGCTGGATCAGAAGTAAAACTAGAGGCAGCACTCAATTCTAGGCACTCCAAAACAGAAGGAATTGGAGCGACAGCTTAACCCACCGTGCCACCACCGCGTTTTACGTAGCACCTACACATTGCGAGTGTGCCTAAATCCATTGTAACGTTGGTCCCATTCACAGAAAAGTGACATGACCATTTCAAAATAACTTCCACACAGCATGAGATCTGCACGTTTTCAATCCTGACGGCCGAAACTGCTTATCTCAGGGAGGCTTCAGGGTTCTAAGCTCAGCCACCTGCAGGAGCCATGCACTGGCATTTTTCTCGAAGTTTCTTTCCACTTCTGAGCTCCACAACGGAACAAAATCATCCAAGAGTTCCAAGAAGCTCCCCAGTGCAAAACAAAAGGTTGAGGGAAAAATCCTGAGCCTTAGAGAAGCAAGAGGACCCTGGGCCCTTTCAAGTCCGGGTATAGAGGCACAGTGTTTGCGCCTTCCCTGGAATTCCCCTCCCGGGGGGTCCTGGGGGGCAGGCAGCTTCTGCAGCCCCGAGTTTGATGTAGATCCAAAGGTAAACACATGCTTGGGAGCCAGGCAGGTAAGAGATCCAGGCCTCATCTCTCACCCCATGGGACCTGCCCAAGCTGACTCCAGTCTCGGCGTCCTTGCCTGAGCAGATGGTCGGGGAGGCTTAGCTGCTCAATTAATGCTACCCCTTGTTCCTGATGTTATTATGATCTATGAAGAATGGGAGAAAAGGACCCGTTGCTGCGAAATAATATGTTCCATGACAATTTATCACAGAGAGTGACTGGCCAGGAAGCCAACAGTCTGCAGCCTGGGCCGCTGGGCAAACAGCCCCTTACATTAAATGATGCGTCGAGATCTGTCCCGAGGTTCCAGGCAACGTCAGCTCCTTTCCTGTGAGCGCCAGGGAAGGTGGGAAGCATTTCAACTTCAGGCCCCACACTGGGCTCAGATAAGGGAGCCAAGACTTTCCCTCCCATCCTGGCCAGCAGGAGACACACTCAGCCAACGTTCTCTTCCAGCAGAACTGACCCGCGGGGTGGGGGACTTCTCCCTGGCACTGCCACTGCCCCTTGAAGCAGCCATCCAGGACCAGGAGACAATGCCACCCCACACAGCCCGTTTCCCCAGGCTGGTCATGGGATCCTGCATCTTGCTATCTGGTCCAATAAGAAAATCCATGGAAAACATGACGTTTGGGAGACCCAAGGCTGAAATTCCAATGTACCCAAGAAATCAGTTATATCCCTGGAGGATCCCAAACTTGGGGTGACCCGAAATATTAACAAGTTCCCCACAGCTAGAACAAAGCAAGGGCCGAATGGAACAGGACTGCTCAGAGGACATTTCCAGTTCTTATTTTCTGATAAGCGCCTTGAGAAGGCCCAAGACTTCTAGGAGACGTCCAATCATCAAAGAAGTGCACTAAGTTCCCTCTTGCACACTTTGATGTTGCACAGCATCGGGAGTCAGGTGCCCTCTGAGAAAGCCAGGGCACATTTAGATCTGCCATGGCCCCAACACCTCCCAGGGCAAAGGGGCTTGAGCAGGTTGATCTCTCACGTGTGTACACCCCATAACAAACGGATCCGTGGGAATCCGGCCTCTCGAATGCCTTTTTGTGTCTGGAATCTGTTGCTCATATACTGGTCTGATGGAAATGGTTACAACCAAGAAGTACAACAACTCTAGAAAAAACACTCCTTTCTTGGTAAAGCAGAGTGTTTCGTGTCACTGCAAACACTAAAAGCTTCCCATTGTGCAAGTCAAAAAATACGCACAGAATACGCACAGATCAACCTCCACTCCTGGCAAACGGTGCCAGCCACCCTTCCCTTATCTCCTTCACACAGTCATAAAGATTCTGCTACATTTCCCCACCAGGCTGCTGCAAATTCATCATCAAGATCACTGCTATTAGAAGGCTGCCACCCAGCACTTTCTACGCTGCTCAACAAAAGTGATGGACAAGGTGGGAGGCAGTCAGACCTCGTCAAGTCAGCCACTTGTCAACCTGACACTGGCCAGCTGGGTACTTGTGCACAGTGACACTGAAAAAAAGAAAAAGAGTCACACTGGAAGGAAAAAAAAAAAAAGCAAATATGTGCATGTAACTTTCCAACCCCTTGTGGCCAACCGCTGGGGTTGAGATGGTGCAACTGGCAGAGCCAAAAAAAATGGTCTGCGTGTGTTGGACACAGTGCCCGGGTGTGTGCTGAACTGGGCATGATGTGTGTGTGCACCTGTAAATCCGTGTGCGTGTGTGCGTGTCTCGTAAGCACGCATGCACACGTGCATCGTGTGGTTCTCACACACCAGTTCACTCAGGGTATCAGCATCCTACCTGCCACTGGTTTCCAGGCTGGCCAGGCACGTAAGGCGCGGGGAGGCTCCGAAGGGTGTTCTTCACTGGGGAGCCCCCCAGGGCACTGCCCATCTCCCCAGAAGAAGACTCGGCAGCCAGGGCCATGGAGTACTGCGGGTAGTTGTACAGGTTGTTGTAGTACGGGAACAGAGACGGCTGGTAGAAGCTGCTGTAGTAGGCGGAGTCCGGAACCAGGTCAGGCGTGTTCTCCACGTGCCCTCTGCTGGTGACAGCAGGGATATCCTGGATGACCATCCGCCCCTCTACAAAGGGAAAAAAAAGAGAAAGATGACAGCGATATTAAGTTGAGGCTAAGAGGCCTTTCCCTACCTTCCTTCTGAAGTCTGCAGAGCATGGTACCTGACCATGCAGGAGACAAAACTGCCTGCTGGGCGTTGTGGCCGCAATAAGGGTGGGTTTCCAAGGCTGGCTGCTCTCCAGTCACTGGGCTTATAGACTCACACCGTTCTCTAGCTATGTGTCAACGGAGGGACCCGTCTATATCAAAGGAAAAAGGAGAGAGATCCTGCAGCCATGGTTCACTCCCCGAATGGCCGCAGCAGCCAGAGCTGCACAAACCAAGAACTCTACCTAGCTTCCCAAGAACTTTGGGCTATCATCCGCTGTTTTTCCAGGAACATTATCAGAAGTGGAGCAGCCGGGACCCGAACTGGTGGTGATGAAGGAGTGCTGGCATCTTATGGGATGGCTTGCCAGCTGCACGCCACAAGGCTGGCCCCAATGTTGATTACAAATCTACTAAAAACCCAAAAACTACTCAGAGGCAATTTTAGCCAGAAAGAAGCCTAGAACTATAACTTCTTTCCAGAAATGTCTATTTCTGTGTCGAGAAACTGGAGCTCAAATCCAGTTCACCCGCCCGCACGTTCTTAAAACGACAATAACTGTACACATTTGAGGGGTGGGCGTGGGTCACGGCACTTAAGTCACTGCTTGGGACATCGGCACCTGACATCAGAGTGTTGGGGTTCAAGTCCCGGGGTGTTAAGGCTGCTGTGAGCAGTACAACAGGTGTGTGTCTGTATGTCAAAGGAAGGTGTTAAGCGCTTAAGCAAACAGTATTTCCTTTTTTTTTTTAAAGATTTATTTATTTTTATCAGAAAGTCTGATATACAGAGAGGAGGAGAGACAGAGAGCAAGATCTTCCGTCCGATGATTCACTCCCCAAGTGAGCACAATGGCCAAAGCCAGGAGCCAGGAACTTCTTCTGGGTCTCCCACACAGGTGCAGGGTCCCAAAACTTTGGGCCGTCCTCGACTGCTTTCCCAGGCCACAAGCAGGGAGCTGGATGGGAAGTGGAGGTGCTGGGATTAGAACCGGCGCCCATATGGGATCCTGGCGTGTTCAAGGCGAGCACTTTAGCTGCTAGGCCACACCGCCAGGCCCATAGTATTTCCTTAACTTGATTCTAGAGCAGACACTGTACCCTTGAGAAGTCTCAACAAGGCTTTGTCCAGGGGTAGATGAAGTTCTCTCAAAGTTCACTAATGATTTGGGGTTTCATACACCATTCAGTCACCATTACTGTGAGATTGCGTGGCAATAAAATGTTATTCACAAACAGAGGCAAAGTGATGATTTAGCTCAGAAACTAACCAGTGACCCCCGGGGGTAGTCTTTAAACCGATGTAAATGCCAATAAACGACTGAACAAATGCCCACATCACCCATCCAATGGGCGTGTATCAAACCAGTGCCTCCAATGACTGCAAGGCACCATCCTGCCCTCAGGGAGCCTTCGGGTGAGAGATGCTGGGATAAAGCGCGTAATACACCCTTCAGAAAAGGAGAGTAAGGCGAGATCTGCAGCTTAGGATAGAAGCAAGAAGACCTTTGCAGGGGTCGGGGGGGGGGGGGATGCACTTGAGTGGCACCTTCAAAGAGGCGTGGGAAAGAGATGAAAAATAAGTGGAAAAAAAAAAGAGAAAAGAGGATAAGGAATGGAAAGGGGGGGGCGGAGCAAAAGTTTGGAGTGATGGGCGGGGGCAGGCAGGACAAAGAACTGGGAGCCCAGGGGCCGCTGAGCTGGAGTCATCATCGTGGGAAGCCCTGTTGTCTGGCTGGGCTGAGGACTTCCCAGCGAGGGGGTTGCACCATCACCGAGGCTGCCTGGGGAGAGGCACCTCATGGGAATACACCTGCAGAGCCAGGTGCGGAGTTGCCCGGGTCGGTGCGGAGACCTGAGATGGCTACGGTGCATCGCAGGCACACGGGTGGGATGCAGCCCATCAGAACAGAGCTGGCCACGGGCAGCGGCCTGGGTGCGGCCAGGGGGAGGGGCAGGGAGGTTCTGTTTATCAGAGGAACAAGAGCCAAGGCCAGGCTCCTGAAGAACAGGGGACATACTGTCTCAGCCGCCCAGCAGGGCTAGGAGATCCAGAACTCAGTCCCGGGCGAGACCACCACCAAGCCGTTCTTTGGGACCTTGTGGCTTCGGGTGAGGGGCATGAGGAAAAAGGCAGCCTGTTAAGGAGGACCCAGGAGACAGGAGGGGCAGGAAAAAATCCAGCTAGCCGGCCCCTGCCTGCAGGCTCCTCCAGGGTCCCAGGGCCAAAGGGGTGGAAACCATCACACGGTTGCAAGCAGTTTTAACATGAGCTTAAAAACAGGAGCTCCAGGGCAACCTTGCTACTCGGTGGTGAAGCATGCAAGGAGGACGTGAAAGGGAGGACCCGGCTCAAGTCCCAGCACTGGGAAAAGCTTGGCTGAGATTGTGCACACTCCTCACGTCTCATTTGCACAGTCTCTCCCAAGAGAATACCAAGTTCACCGCCAGGCTCTGCCAAGCTCCTGCCAAGCCACGACTTCTCATGGGTTCTTCTCTCCTCTGCCCAGCTAGGAACGTGAGACAGCATGTCATTGCTCCCCATCCCCAACTCTGTCACTACCTCTGGCCACGCCCCCCACCCCCAAACTTCCCCACTGTTATTTTCATTCATTTGAAAGAGACAGAAATCGATCTTGGGTCATTCCTCAAGTGCCTGGAATAATTAGGCAGGAGCCAGGCAAAAGCTGGGAGTCTGGCCAGGTCTCCTCCTTGGGTGACAGGGACCATCCGAGCCATCCCCTGCTGCCTCCTGGACTGTCCCTGTCAGCCAAGGTCAGGAACAAACATGGGCACCCCAGTCAGGGTCTTAATACCTCACCCCATCTTTTAAAAATCTATGTGGTGGCATGTGTCATGGTATTCAGTATCTAACCCTTTTTCTATGTCAGTATCTTTCTTCTTTTTATAGGCAAATGCAGTACAAATAGCTAAGTCACAGAAAGAATGAAGGGCATATTCCTACCACCCAGTCATAAGCATGATAGTTCATTCCTATTAATCTCCCGGACATACAGGATGGCACATTAGATGCCAACGCCTGTCCCTGGAGGGGCAGAAACAGGATGCCTCTTGGGACCTGATCTTCAGAGGCCAGAGCTGTGACGTGACCGGATAAGCTGTGCCCGCAGTGCCCGCATTTCATAGGAGCACCAGTTCGAGTCCCAGCAGCTCCACTTGTGACATCAGCACCCTGCCAATGCTCTCGGCAAAGCATGCAGAACTAGCCCTAGTTCTCGGTCCTTACCGCTCCTGTAGGAGACTCAGACAGAGCTGGGAGTCCCCGGCTTCAGCCTCGGTCCCCTGGCTGGTTCAATCACTTGGGGTGTGAATCAGAGGATGGGAGATCGTTGTCTGTCTCTCTGTATAACTCTGCCTTTCAAACACATATACACATAAGGATGGATAAATGCATGGATGGAAGGGAGGGAGGGAGGGAGGGAGGGAAGAAGGGAAGGGAGAGAGCGGAGGGCAAAGACCAAAACAGTAACCTAAGATTGCAGCTCTCTAGGTCACAGCCCCGCACAAGTGGCTGAGTGCTTGCGGCGTAACCTCAGTTAGACCTTTTAATTAGGCCTCAGTTTATCAAGCCACAAAATGATGGCAGTAATAACTTTCAAGGTAACAAGAGAATGACTTCCATAAACTGTGCAGTAAACCTCAAATAAAACATTATGTCAGGTCAAAGTAATGATTTGTTTGGCGACAGCAGCTGGTAATTAGTCAACACCACCCTCACTTTTCCATCTGCCCATTATTTCCTGCTTTAGATTATCACGAGCCTTAAGGACAAACTGGAATTGATGTTGAAAAAGTTCTGCTTCATAGCAGTATTTGTTTGCTTTTTTTTAAAAAAAGGTTTATTTTTGTTTTTACTGGAAAGTCAGACATACAGAGAGGAAGAGAGACCGAGAGGAAGATCCTGTCTGAGGATTCACTCCCCAAGTGGCTGCAAAGGTCGGAGATGTGCCAATCCAAAGCCAGGAGCCAGGAGCACCCTCCAGGTCTCCCACATGGGTGCAGGGTCTCAAAGCTTTGGGTCGTTCTCGACTGTTTTCCTAGGCCAGGGAGCCGGATGGGAAGTGTGCCTTGGGGATTAGAAAGGCGAGGCGAGGACTTTAGCTACCAGGCTAATGCACTGGGCTCCACAGCAATATTTCAATAGTGAAACTTTCTGAGCTTTGCCAGAGCAGATGTCTACAAATTTTACAATCGTAGCAGTAATGAAGTGATTTGAGAAGTCTTTAAAAAGCACTGTATATAGCCCAGCAAATCTAAACTTTAAAGCTGCAAATTAAAGTGCTTGGGCACGGTGAGGTCCAGCCTTGTGAAATCCGGCCTTACTGCACACGTTACTAGGACAGGGAGATTCTCCCAGGTCAGAGCCAGCACCCCGTGTTAGCCCAGGACTTAGGCACTAGCAGCTGATCCAACATCACCCGGGAGTCTGCGGACATGTGAATTCTGGACACCCCGCAGGTGGGGTTCGAACTCTGCATTTTAATGAGCTCTCTGGAAATTCTGATGTGTCCTGAAGGTTGATATCTGTCAACTTAAAGATTGAAAGCAGCTGCTGTAGAGACTTGGAACCCGGCCTGCCCCGGGATCGCGCTGCAGGGCTAGCCTGCCTGCAGAGACCGGAGACCGTGCACGAACACAGCCCCCTGGGGGACGCACCTGAGCCCTCCCCAGTTCTGGCAGAGCTCAGACCACGAGCCGTGCCCTGGTTCCTTCCCACGGCAAGCATCCAGGCGTGCCTCACTGGATTCTAACACAAGCTCTGTTCTTCTAGGCAGGTGTTTATTCTACTTCCCAAATATGGACTATGCGCCTAGCATCTGCAGGCACTTGGTTGGGTGCAAGAAAGTCACATGTTACTGATCCTTACCAGGCTCCTAGACCATTCAGAGAAGCAGG